TTGGAATCTGGAAAGATTTTCAGAACAAGTTGTCAAGTTGCTACTTCACATGAAAGGATCCAGACAGGGGAGAAACCACATAAATGCACGGAGTGTGGAAAGAGCTTCAGGACAAGCAGTCACCTTATTGTCCATAAAAGGACCCACACAGGGGAGAAGCCATATAAGTGCACGGAGTGTGGAAAGAGCTTCTCTCAAAATACATCCCTTATGTATCATAAAAGGATCCACACAGGAGAGAAACCATATAAATGCCTGGAGTGTGGAAAGAGCTTTCGTTCTAGGGGTGAACTTACTTCCCATAAAAGGATCCATTCAGGAGAGAAACCACATGAATGCTTGGAATGTGGAAAGAGCTTCAGAACAAGCAGTCACCTTATTGCCCATAAATGGATCCACACAGGGGAGAAGCCATGTAAGTGCCTGGAATGTGGAAAGAGCTTTCGTAGTAGAAGTAAACTTACTTCCCATAAAAGAATCCACAAAGGGGAGAAACTTTATAAATGCATGGAATGTGGAAAAAGCTTCAGCACAAACAGTTCTCTTATTTCTCATAAAAGGACCCACACAGGGGAGAAACCATATGAATGCATGCAGTGTGGAAAGAGCTTCTCTAATAATACATACCTTATAAATCATAAAAGGATCCACACAGGGGAGAAACCCTATAAGTGCCTGGAGTGTGGAAAGAGCTTTACTCAGAAGAGTCAACTTACTTCCCATGAAAGGATCCATACAGGGGAGAAACCACATGAATGCTTGGAGTGTGGAAAGAGCTTTAGAAGCAGCAGTCACCTCATTCCCCATAGACGGATCCATACAGGGGAGAAGCCATATAAATGCATGGAGTGTGGAAAGACTTTTCGTCGAAACGGTAATCTTACTGCTCATCATAAAAGAATCCACACAGGGGAGAAGCCATATGAGTGCATGGAGTGTGGAAAGAGCTTCAGAAGAAGCACTCAACTTGTTGCCCATAGACAGATCCACACAGGGGAGAAGCCATTTAAGTGCACAGAGTGTGGAAAGAGCTTTCGTACTAGAAGTAAACTTACTTCCCATAACAGGATCCACATAGGGGAGAAGCCATATAAATGCATGGAGTGTGGAAAGAGCTTTACTCAGAGCAGTAATCTTGCTTCCCATAAGAGGATCCACACAGGGGAAAAGTCATAAAAATGCATGAAGTGTGGAAAGAGCTTTACTACTAGCAGTAAACTTACTTCCCATAACAGGATCCACATAGGGGAGAAGCCATATAAATGCATGGAGTGTGGAAAGAGCTTTCGTATTAGAAGTAATCTTACTTCCCATAACAGGATCCACACAGGGGAGAAGCCATTTAAGTGCACAGAGTGTGGAAAGTGTTTTACTCAGAAGGGTCATCTGAATTCCCATAAAGGGATCCACATAGGGGAGAAATCATATAAATGTGTGGAGCATGGAAGGAGCTTCACGAGTAGGAATGACCTAATTTCACATAAGCATATCTGTTTCGGTGAGAATCCATGTAAATTCTAGATTTATTTTATACATTTTCTATTTGTGTACACTCACCTGGGAAAAGAAGATTTCTTTGAGTCTGATCCTCACAACTGGCAGCCCAAGAGAAATTAATTTACCATTGAAAATAAAAGGGCCGTTTTAATTATGAACTGGATTTTTTAACCTACTGTTATTTTAGGTGGCCAATGCTATTGCACACCAATAAGAGAAATTTATTTTTTATTAAA